GCGATCATACAACTCAAGGTGCTCGTTAGCGGCGATTGCTTCTATGATCCTTCTGATACCTGTGGCCGTTGAGAAGTTGGTTGAGCCACCGGCAACAGTATCTATGAGCTGTTTCGTTTTGAGTCGTAATCCATTCACAAAGTTTTGCATCTGCTCAGTGGCGTCCATGTTATGAGTAGGACATGTTGTAAGACACCTCTTAAACCGCTTATATGCATCCCCTAAAGATTCTCCTTCTTTTTGCTTGAAGTTGACAATGTCATATCTTTTTCGGATGAACACTGAGGCAGGGAAATACTCATTCAAGAACGCAGTTTCCATCTCTTGCCATGTTGTGATACTCCCAGCGGGAAGCGAGTAAAACCATTCTTCCGCATCATCAGTGAGTGTGAACGGGAACATAACTAATCTCTTGGCCTCTTCGGAATGCCCTTCTATTTTCAGCGAGGTGGTGGTTGTGAGGAATCTCTGAAGATGTTTATTTGCATCTTCGTTGATTCTTCCGGCAAACGGCTTGCTCTCCAACTGACGGATGGTGGAAGGGTGTAGTTGAAAATGCGCAACATTCACCGGTTGATTCACAATGGTCATCCGGTTTGGTTGAGCATTGGCCCCTCCATAGTCTCCTAGCAGTCTTTCAGGCTGAGGTGGATTTCCAGCCATTTGAACAGTTTCAGGTGTTGTCTCTCTCTCTCTCTCTCTCTTCGGAGTCGCACTGCACAGATATAATTTCCTTTATTTCTTCCAGTCTTTTAACTTTAGCTAATCTCCGTCTTTCGTGTAATGCTCGTTCTGGTTCTGTATCAAAAGAATATTTAGCTGAGGCCTGACCTCGCATACACAATTAGACAAGCGTTAGATAATACAAGCAGATAAATGTTATGCAGTAAAAAATAAAATTTTAGTCGCAGAGCAACAAAATTTCTTTTGGATTCTAAAAACAATGTTAATTTGGCAGTCCCCGGCAACGGCGCCAAAAACTTGATCGGGAAAATAACAAGTGTACTATTTTTACCAATTGTAGTAATAAGGGAAAAGTCCCAAGTATCGATCTCGAGGACTACGTAGTAATTAACGGAATTTTTAGAATTCAAATGAACAAAAGGTCTAGTGGTTTGTTTGGTAGCAGAGTAATATAATAAGTAAATACAGACTTAATTAATCAATCTAAGAACAGTGTTAGGGGAGTGGAGACGAGACGAGTAAAGACCCTGTATGATTATTCTACTATACTAGTTATTAACCTTAATTTATCAGTTGGCCACTTTAGTTGCCTTAATTCCTTAATGGAAACCCTTTGATGATTTTCCTGTTCACTAATTCCTCAGTGTCCCTGAAAAACATCAAGCAATAGTTCCGACCATAAAATACGTGATACGGGATATCCTCATTCCTAAGCAATATCGACCGTGATACTATTTTGCAAAAGTGTTAGGTTGACTTTCCAGACTAACGCCTAAGCACAATTCGAATTCTACTTTCCAATATGAATACGAATAGGATTAATGCAAAATAAAATATATTAAGGTAAAAATATAGTTCTCATCGAATAATTAAACAAACGTCATTACATCGCACTAAGGACCACCCCCTAACAACTTGGGGTTTAGCTACTCATGTTCTTCGTAAACATAAAAGTAATTAGAATTAAAAAGGAGAAGATCATTACAATGCAAGTTGAAAGCCTTGGATCATCAATTGCTTCCGCTTTTGATCGATCCTCTGTTTCCAGCCGAACTCTCCTCTCAGTTGTCAATCCTAATCTCAGTGCCAAAAGTCCCCCCTACTTTCTAAAACGTGCCTCTTATATCTAAATTCAAATTACATAGCGAAATGTCTCAAATGCCCTTCGAAATAGGTCTGACAGCAAAAAATCAGAAAACAAAGAAATTTCACGTTCAGTGGCCCTGACACGGGCCGTGTTGTGCAACACGGGTGGCCGTGTCAGGCTGCTGGCTTCTTCAGGGCGTGTTCCTCTCCAAGGGCTGCAACACGGGCCGTGTTGCATGACACGGGCACCCGTGTTGCAAGTCTGAGTCTTCTTTTTTCATCTGCTTTGGTCCACCCGTGTCTGCCAGTCGTGTCCTTCATGACACGGGCCGTGTTGTGCAACACGGGTACCCGTGTTGCAGCTCTGAGTTCCCTTTTTCGCCTTTTCCTTGCCTCCGAATGCGGTGCGATTGTCGTGCTATCCATTCCTGCCAAAAACACACTAAAAGAAACCAAATCAAACGCACCAGCGGCAAAAGCAACATAAACTTAAAAATAAGACTCGAAGACACACAACTACGAGTAATGCAGATAATAACAACTAAAGCTTCGAAAACTAGATAAAAACATTGCGAAATTAACCACAAACAGCGTTTGAAAACACAACTGAAATCCACCGATCAAGAACGTGGAGGAAGCGCGCGAGCCTCCCTGCCAAGGGAGTCGTCTGCCCGACATACATGCCTTGTTGAGGCTCGTGCTCGACATGGTGGAATTGGGCCTCACCAGCAAAGCGTTGGGTTGGGCTTGCCCGATTGAGGGGTAGGTCCCGACCCAGTCGTGAACACAAAGTATGCAAAATAATTTTGTACTCTAATAGTTTGTTGAGTGTGTATAATATGAACAAGCCAGATGCTAGATAAAGTAGACTGTGAATAAACTAGATGTTTGATAAAATATACTCTGAACAAGTCAGACGCTGAACAAAGTTGAATAAAATAGATTTTGGACTCTGGATAGAGAGATTATGGACTCTATATAAAGAGACTTTGTACTTTGTACACCATCATATTCTAAACTAAAGTTAGAATAAGAAGAACTGCTAAACTTAAAGTCAACTTTGGATATCCTAGTCAACGCTACTGAAGTAAACAATCCAAAATTACTCTGATAAATTCAAGCCTCATAATCACTAAACTCTGAAGTTTATCTTCAAGGCTTTGATTTCTAATCAAGCTTCAAAACATCTCATATACGAAGCCAATGATTCAAAGAACAATGATCGAAAGAATATTCCTGATAATCGTACATTCAAGCGGAAAAATCAAATGTTTTCTTAAAGGAAAAACATGTTGGAATGATTAAGGAATGTACTACCAACGATACTCCATGTTTCACGGCTCAACCTCGTAGCACTATTATATTTGTGGAATTGAAGAAGTTTCCAATTCTATCCTCTAACGGTATTATTTATCATCTATAAAGATGACAGAGGAATTGTGAAAAAGACACAACATGACAGGCAAGTGAAATACAACAACAAAACGAAATGAACAACACTCATTACACTTAGGGTTTTTTCATTTGTACATTTTCTTTAGTGTAAACTCTGAATTTCGTTGTGCGTACCTGCTTGCAAAGAAACATTCTTGTAAACACATATCTTTGTATTGTAATTTGAGTTATTCCTCAAGGGACTAAGTTTAGTCTGGTGTCTAAAGAAGTCATTGACAATTAGTCTTCAAGTTTTTCTTTGAGGGACTAAGTTTATACAGTAGGCCTGAGAAGTCATTGACACTTGGTCTTCGAGCTAGTAATCACTTTGATTATTGAATTAAGTCGTGTTGAGAAGGCAAAATCACTCTAATGAGTGAACTGGACTAACCTTGTTAAAAGTGAATCAAAATAAAAATACATTGTCATTATTTATCATTGTTGTTTGTGTCATTGGTTTGTGATTGATTTTAAAAAAATTCATATTTAAAACCCAATTCAATCTCCCATTTCTTGTGTTTTAAAAAAAAAAATTGCGATATCGACTATGTTTTAATTTTTAAATAACGTATGTTTATATTATAGGATGTCAAAATTATTTTTTCAATTTAAAAAAACGAATATGAAATTTTTTGTAATATTTCAAAAAATGGTTTTATAAAATCTAATTTTGAAAATACAAAGAATTTTTTTTTTAAAGCTGAAACAAACATATATCTATTATTGTACATCTTTTTATTTTGAAATTGTTAATCTCACCATATAAGGTGGAAAAACACCTTATGAAGTTCCAAAAATACTTTTAAATTTTAGAGATGTATATCCAAACGCACTCAATACACCTATAATTAATTAATTTTTGACCTATAGTATAACTAAATTTATTTTGAAATTGCATTTCTTGATTCCAAAAATACACTCATACACTCATGTACATGGTTCCACGCAGACCAAGGAAGAAAAGCAAAACAACATAAAATTTCAGGCAGAAAGAATTCCCATTGTAATTCATTGAAGAAATCCAGATCGTGCCAAAGTTTGTTTAAGCTTCTCAAACTGATGTTGCACAAAATATTTTAGTATCTAGAATATGTTAACCCATGAAACATTATTTTGAAGACAAATTACTCTATTTTTGGCAATCATGTATCTGGAAGAATACTTCAAGAATATGGAGTTACTCTCTTACCGTTTTACTTTTTCTTCCATGTCTATGTTACATATGTGAATGTGAATGTAACATGATGAGACTTAAAATGTGTGGAGTTGGTTTTATAAGTTTTGAAAATGTATTTATAGAATAAATTTAGTTACACAATTTGAGCGTAGTTGAAAAACGAATAAATTATATGTGTATTAAATCTATTTATAGATACATTTTTAAAACGGTGTGGTAACAATCCATGTGACACATTTAACAATTTCATTTTATTTTAATATAAAATACAATTCTTTTAACAAGTTATTGAGTTATTCAATAGAGAGAACATTTAAATAAATACATAATTGGAAGTAGAGATAGCAAAAAAAAAATTAACCTACAAATTCAATAAATATTTGGCATAGATAAATGATTTCCTAAAAGAAAAACAATAAACGTGGTAGTTGGTTTAGGTGTAGAATGTTCTAGAAACCGGAAAATTTGATCAAAATCCAATACAATGAACTGGTTAGATGGTTTGGTAGATAGAATAAGTTAATAAACAATAACGAACATATATTATACTTTGCTCCTTCTTCACCCCTTCAAACATCTCACCAGTCCTTTGCCAGAACCACCATAACCACCGCTATCAATGGGTAGAGCCGCTCTCATAACGACGGCGGTAGTTTTCCTAGCCGTCGGAGTAATTTTCTCTCCGGAAACATTCGGATCAAAGTCAACCGCTCTTTCCACTTACCTCAAACTAGCGCACCTTCTAGGCTTCTCCATCGCTTTCGGCGCCGCTCTATGGGTTACCTTTATCGGCGGGATCATCATGTTCAAGTACGCACTTTTAATTATGATTATATGTTGATTTAATCTCTGATTAATGCTAATTTGTTGTTGAATTTGTTTGTTTAGGAATTTGCCTAGGCATCAGTTTGGTAATCTTCAAAGCAAGATGTTTCCGGCTTATTTCTCAATGGTTGGTGTTTGTATCTCCGTGGCAGTGGCTTCCTTTGGATACCTTCACCCATGGAAAACTTCATCTACTAGTGAGAAATACCAACTTGGCTTCTTGCTTTCCGCTCTTGCCTTCAATCTTACTAATTTGTTCGTCTTTACACCAATGACAATTGAGGTATTTTTTTGTCCTCTTTTAATTTCTCTCTAAACAAATTCCGCTTTTCGATGTTTTTAATCAGATTTTGCTATTACAATTGTTACAATATGCCACTCGAATATCATGTAATTTAGGGTTAGTTAGGTCAAACAGATCAATTAAGATTGCTCATATTACAGATAGTGTTAATATATAGTTTAGACTTAGTCTTCCAAAATTCAACTCCCAATCAAACCCTAAATTACATGAATATTGGAGTGGTTGAGTTCTCTTCTAAGCGTGAACTCTTGCAATTAGTCTGCATAGTTCAATCAGTTTGCTAGCTATGTCTGGTGAAACATTATGCAAAAAAAAGTTTAGTTTTTGGCAGAATAATGAAAAAGCTTGCTTATATTGCATAGTTTTAAATGAAGACAAGTAGTTTTTCCTTAAACATCGGTAAATTTCATGATGTGTATAACTTTCTAATCTCTTTCTCTTCTTCCACCATTTCCTGCTCTAGTAACTACCAAATTTCTCCCTTGTTCTTTCTCTCTGGTACTTTTCTTCTTATTGCTGTCTATCATTAACAACAGCACTTTTCCTCTTCAATGTTGAAAACAAATGTTTATGAGGAACTAAATTCTGTTTTCACGCTAAATGGAGTTTAACTTTTTGGTTGCCAGCCAAGCCATGTTTGGCTTCAAACGTTGGTAGACACCGAAGTAATAGAGCTGTTATTTTGTTTTACATTGGGAAAGTTTCATTTACCATTTTGTCCTATACCTGTTATATTATGTTATAGTACTCAGTATCATTTTCAGTTATTACACATTTACAAGTACTTTTGATTAGTATCATCCAAATAAATTTCACTTTATCAAATATGTTTGAAAAAATGAACCGAAGTATAAATCAAGTTACAACAAACTTAGTTTTAGCCAAATTTATGTTTACAGAATGAGGTTGAATCGAACATAAGTTCGCAAACATTTGTCAATTTTTTTCCTGCAAGCTGTAATCATATTCTGGTTAAGTCATGACAACATTTTATGTTGTTAAACTGCCAATAGTCACTCATTGCTTATTTTTATTGTTTATAAATAATGCAACCATTTTGTTGGTCTGATACAGATGATGAAACAAAGGCATAAAGTGGAGAGAGAGAATAAGATTGGAGATGAAGTTGGGTGGTCAAAAAATGTTGAGGTTGCAAAGAAAAACCCAAAGCTTGCAGCTATGAATAAGAAGTTTGGTATGATTCATGGATTATCTTCCCTTGCCAATATCTTGTCATTTGGAAGCCTTGCAATACACTCTTGGTACTTGGCAGGTAAACTTGATCTCTGATTCAGTTTTTGCCTCACTTTCTAGTAGAAAGCGAAACTTGTCCACGCAATGCAATTTGTGAAATGTACTAGCAAAGCATTACACAGTATTGGTTTATCAAGAGTATCTTGTGTCTTTCTGTGAAAACCTAATGTAATTGCCTTAATTCACATGAATAAGATAATTAGTCAGTGTACCTTTATGCAGTTGAAGGTAACTCACACTATGGTATAAATTCTATATAGCAGCAATTTGCATTTCTCAGGGTGCTACTCTGGTTTTCTTTTGTTCGAATAGCACTTTTATACAATTACTATTTAGGTGCTTGTCCTACTCTTCTCTAATTAAAAAACTAACGCATGGAATAAATGGTGACCGATAAGTTTGTGATGTGGGAGCACTTTTCTCCTTAAATGGCTTTACAATAGGCCTAAAACAGAATCGCTGTCAAATTGAAAACACAAAAACTGTCAACACGCCTTTCATCGGCCCAGCCATTGCTTTGAAGCACTCTCTCCTTTAAGCATTCAAAACAGTGTAACTAGAACACATTCTTTCATACATCACTGTCCCAAAAGGTACATCAAACTGAACAAAATATTAGAGTGAAACCCCGAGGCTTAATTTGTTGGCATGATCACAGTATGCAGCATCGCATATGACCATCATAGCAGTCTGAATTTAATTCAAACAAACCTTTATTCGCCTGAAAACCTTGAGCTTTAGCCATGAATAAGCGCTTTTAAAATACCCCAAGTTTTGTGAGAAGCCACAGATGTTTTTGTTTATTTCCAATCAAACTACACAAGCAATCATCAATTAAAACTACAATTCTGTGATGTTATTTTCGGGAACATTATTTTTAGGAAATTTATTTTTATCTTTGTGTTTGATAAATAATTTAAGTTGTTTAAAATATTTATAAAATATATTAATTTAAAATTTTAAAATAAACAAAATAAAGGACTTAAATAAATAGAAATAAGAAGTCTGTGATGATTTACCTCTTATTCTCCTGGGAATATAACATTTTCATTCTATTATAAGGGAATGAAAAGAAAAGAAAAAAAAAACAAGTGTGAATAAAATTTCGGAGGATAAAAGTTCTAAATATAATTTATAAATATTTGAAATAAACATAGGATGTAAAAAATTAGTTATATTTATGAGAATAAATTTGAAAATAATTATATATATATATATATATATATATATATATATATATATATATATATATATATATATATATATATATATATATATATATATATATATATATATATATTAAAATACTATTAAAACATAAATTATAATTTATGTTTTATTTAAGTCTCAAAATTTTCTAAATTCCTCTTCCAACATAACTTTTTCGGACAGGCTCGGACATGAATGTCGTTTCTTCTTATTAGGTCCGAACATAGATATTTGGTTGTATTTGTGTATGTTGGGTGGCATATTAGAGTTTTTTTTGGCAACACTCGAATGAGGTCTGTATAGTCGACAATCTTTCACTTTCCGAAGGCCTTCTTAATCAGCACAACGCTAGAAAGTTACTTCGTGTATTTTATTTTAGGAATGAAGTTAGCTTCTAACTAAAGGAAAATCACGATTTAAAACGCAACGGAAAATTTAAATTTTCTCTTTAGTAATTCTTACGAATAAGCATGATCAGTGATATAAACGGTTATCTCTTGTGGTGATTAATAATTTTGATACAGATTCAGATGAATGATCACGAACATTAAATAAAGAACAACACCTCTATTCAGCCTATACGGACAAAGTGTCTTTAATATCAGTGTTAGCTATTACGAATGAAGACTTTGAGTGAGAGAGAGGAACAGAGAAATACGGTCATGATTTCACCAACTAAATTTCATCAAGTTTTAAAACTTTTACACAAAGATGGTATTTATAAAACCACTTGTGTGAACTGCAACCTAAAAGGTCCAATTAAAATGCACCGTATAATAATAATAATAATAATAATAATATAATAATCATTATTATAATAAACATACTTTATTATATAATAATAATAATAATAATAATAATAATAATAATAATATAATAACCATTATTACAATAAATATATTTTATTATTATTATTATATTATAATTACTATAATAATAATAATAATAACTCTTATTATTATATTATACGATGTTTCATATTTCACTTAAGTATATCGTACTTTACGGTGTTATATAATTCTCTCAACTACATTGTATTTTACAATGTTCTTTATTTATTCTATCTCATCAATTTGTCCTTATGTGTGTGACCTTGTAGGTTTTCGTGACGTTGACAATTATATATTTAATATAATAAACAGTGAGCAGTATTTAGCAACTCGTCACTGTTATCCAAGTCACAAATATGTCATGTGATATAACAAAATCTTTTGTGATAGTACTTGTGTGTACAATTACCCTTTTGCCCTTATGTCTATATTGAACACAAGACATATACCGTGCCATCCTTGTCCAGTTTAATATTAGACCCTTAGACATTTATCCTGTTATGCGGGATGAACAAATTTCATCTAGGCCACTCATGTTCCTCAACATGCTTTGTGGAGTATCCATCAACTGTCTTTATGGTCATCCAATTACGGACAATGTTAGATCGGTAATAAAGTACTTGACTCTACATCTAGGGTCCATAGTGGTTTCAGGTCGAAGGGTGGTGTTGCGGTGAGAATCGGATATCAAGCTATTAATTAACTTGAACCACAAATCTTTAAATATTCACTACCGAGCTTTGATTTATTCAAATGAAAGAGTAAAGATCGAAGAAAACCCTAAGTGCGCTACGTAACAACGAAGCTAAGAGATCGGGGGGTTTGGGGGTTGGTTATACTAAGGGAAGGTATTAACACCCTAAGTATCTGTAGTATCCTACAAGAGCCTCTTGTTTGGTAGTTGTGTTTGTGTTAATGTTTGTCTGCTAGGGTAAAGACCTAGGGGTATATGCACTAAGTATGCTCGCCAAGACGTCGCATCTCGTGCCTATGTATCCTAACAAGGATGGAATCAGAGTATCCGCAGTTCTCCTAACTAGGGAGAGAACTCTTGGTTATGGTCAAAGTTCAAGGCGAATAAACATCTATAACAATGATACTTATATAGAGTTAACAAACTCTTTTAATCTAAGTTGAAAGATTAACTGGGGGTTTGACTTTAAAAAAGTCAAAAGGGGAAAAGTGAGTACCCATAACAATGGTACACACATAGAGTTAACAAAATCTAGACCTAAGCTCTAAGTTATAGGATTCTTAACAAGGTGTGCTAAAGGTCTTGACTTGACAAAGTCAAAAGGATGTAGGTTCTAACTTAATACTAAGTTGAAAGTCCTAATAACTCTAACAAGGTCAAAGGGAGGTTTGAGAATAAATGAGTTATTTATGACATTGAGTCAATAGAAAGAGTTTTATTTGGACTTAGGAATACAAGGCAACTCTTTAGGATGAGAGCTAACAAGCTACATCACTTGGGAGAAATTTAGCAAAGCTTAAGCAAGCATACATATACATTCATTCAAACATGATGAATATATAAAATTATGGTGACAACCAAGAAAGTAAATGCGAGCATGTAACAACATCAAGGAAAACAAATAACAAGGCTACAACCCAGTATTCATCATAAAAGTTTAGAATCAAACCAAATGGTTACAACCAAAGGTAAACATAGATGTTACAACATCTAAATGGCTATGAAATAAGGTTCTTACAAGACCAAATATCATAGATGACAAGTGAATCATGCATAAGTAAAAACATTACTTATCATGACAAAGTTCAAAGGTCAGCATGCATAAATCATAACAATATTTAAGCATGGATACAAATAGAGAATCATGTATAAGTCAAAACATTACTTATAACAATGTTCAAAGTTCAAGATTAACATGCATAAATCATAATAATATTAAGCATGTATACAAGTCAAAAGAATCATATATAAGTAAAAACATTACTTATAACAAAGTTCAAAGTTTAAGATCAACATGCATAAATCATAACAATATTTAAGCATGTATACAAGTAGAGGTAACAACCTAAACATCTTGGAACAAAGGTGAGACATGTGTGACAACAACATGTTAATTGTGGTGAATCATGTTAAACAAGAAGGTAACAACAAACATGTAAAAGGAATTCAATCATGGAAGATGAGAAACATCTCAAAGGTGATTCATGCAAGCAAAACAAAACGTTTTCAAGAATACTCAAAGTAAGGTATGAAGGACATGAAGCATATGCACATTCAAATCAATTGATCATGGAAGAAAAACACATGTCAAAGGCAAGGTAATAACCAAGTTTTCTATGATATTTAAACACGCATTCACATATGAATATGAACTTGAAAAAAACAATAACCATCATGTAACAACAAGGGTATTCAAATTCACACATCAAATGAGGTTCCTACAAGGAATGTTGGGTTCATACAAGCAAGAGGAATTAAAGGAATCAATTAAAAGGATCAAAAGAAAACCTAAGAAACCCTAAAAAGTCACGAACTTTGAACATGCACAAGTACCAAATAAATAAATCTTTTTGGATTTTTCTTGACATAGACAACAAATAGACATTCTCATGAGCATTTAACAAAAAGAGTGGGATAAAAATGATAAAAATCAAAGAAGTTATGAAAAATTCAGTTTGTGAAGTAAAACATAAAAACAAAATATTAAAAATACGGGGATGCACACAATGGGGTTTGAACCCACGTCCTTAAGGCTCTTGGCTCAAAAACCTAGCCAGCTGAACCACGCGCGCATTGTGAAACAATAATGAAAGCGAGATAATATATGTAAAACAAGCTTCAAAAATGAGAAAAATAGTAAAAGGGTTGATCAGCATGATCGAACCCAAGCACACAAGGTAAGTAAGGAAAGGCAATGCAAGATTCTACTACTAGGGTGGCTGTTACGTTTAGTTATAATACACTTCTAATTGTTTTTATTTAAAAAACACTTCCAAACGACCAACTCAGCACCCAGTGAGCGC